CCTACCACTGTCAGATACAATGGACGAGGCAGAGGACATTTTTTACTTTTCGCCTGTCAAAGAACTGCCGATAGCTGGAAAAGATATTGAGCGAGAAATAACGAAAGACCCGGTCCTGAGCGTGGTACGCGAGATGACATGGCGTGGCTGGCCTCAGGCTGTAGACGACAAATACCAGCCTTTCTTCGTAAGGCGATTTGAACTTTCCGTGGATGACGGTTGCCTAGTTTGGGCTAACAGAGTGGTGATTCCGAAATCTCTCGAAAGTGAAGTAGTTTCATTGCTGCATGAACAACATATTGGCATAACCAAAATGAAGGCACTTGCAAGGTCAATGGTGTGGTGGTCTAAGATCGACAGTCGCCTTGAGCAGACTGTGAAACAGTGTGAAATCGTCAAAGCGTAAGATGTGCTGAACAGGCCACACCACTGACACCTTGGAAGTGGTGCACAAACAGTTGGGAAAGGGTGCATCTTGACTTCGCTGAAAAGGAAGGCAAGTTGCCTCTAGTTGCTGTGAACTCGTACTCTAAATGGCTAGAGGTAATAATAATGACATCGACGACTGCACAGAAAACTGTCGAAACAGTCCGGTCATTGTTTGCACGCCATGGCATTCCAACTGAGGTTGTTTCAGATAACGGACCACAGTTCCGAGCGAAAGAGTTCGAGGATTTCTTGTCGGCAAACGGAATAAAGCATACTCTGACCCCTCCGTACCATCCCCAATCGAACGGCTCAGCAGAACGCGCCGTTTAAGCGGTAAAGCTGTCGCTGCTGAAGCAGTTATTAGAGGATGAACATAGCAAAAGTCCGAGGTCCCTTCAACACAGGGTTGATAACTTTCTGTTCGCGTACAGAACAACGCCTCACACGTTCACGGGGAAGACTCCTGCCGAACTGTTCTTGAAACGTAAACTTCGTACAAGGCTGTCTTTGATAAAGCCAAACATGGAGGCAGTAATAAAAGCAAAGTCTGAGAGGGAAGTGTGTAGCGCGAACAAGCGCTGACGCACAGCGAGAGTATTTTCCGTAGGTGATCGCGTGCTCGTACGTACTGTGCGTGGTGAACTTGTGAAATGGCTTCCATGAAAAATCACGGAAGTGAAATTGGCCATGACGTACTTAGTCTTTGTAGACAGAATACGGTTCGTACACGCAGATCATCTGCGACGTTCGTTCCTGGTGCCTGATGATTCAGCCGAAATGCCCGATTGTCACGTGGAACTGCCGCATGATAGTGACATGCCGCAAGACGAGCGCCATGTCGAACCTGATTGAACACAGTCTGTAGTTGATGTAAGTCCAGAGCAAGTGCCGCCGCGCAATACTCAAATGGCCTCATCACCGGGACCAGTTGATAAATCGTCACCTGTAGTCATGGGCGTCGGCAGGGGGGTGCAAAAGGGGCAGTTGCCCCCCCCCCCCCCCCGCTCCCCCCCCCCCCCCCCCCCCCACACACACTTCCCCAGCTCTCTCGGTTCGGGGGATCGGATGACGTCGAGCCATAACTTTCCTAGCAAGCGGAGAAACCGAAAGCAATCCTAAAAAAAAAAAAAAAAAATCCACGCACTTTCGTTTCTTTTGCATCCTTCAGCCATAAATACAAAAAAGAATGTTCTCCCCTCAATTTATTGCCTGGCTTGCAACCAGCCGCGCCCAGCTAAAAAACAAAACAAAAACAAAAAAAAAAAAACATAGGGAGGGGCATCCACGGACCACTTCCGAGAACATCGCAGTCCTGAGTTGTCAAGAATCACAAACATTCGGGAGAAAGTCGGTAATAGGCCCCCAAAACAGAGCGTCTTCTACACAGAGCGGGATTCTTCCAAAAAGCCCAACAGAACAAATCGGCGTAGGTATGAGCTGGAGATAGTCCGCGCTCTCCCTTCGCTTCGTGCCCCTCGTAAAACCGTGAGCAGTGGAGCGAGCCGGGGGAGGGGGGGGGGGGGGGAGAAAGGGTTTCGACCCCTTAAAGAAAGCACTGCTCACGCCAGTGCTCTGTTTTATGTATGTGCCTTTGGGTTTTTCTTCTCCTCTTTCCGTAGTATGTTGTGGTCATGGGAAAGGAGAAGAGGGGGGTCAAAATCGGGGCCAGGCGTCCTCTTTCGGACAATACAGTTCTGCGAAACTCTGTCCGCGCCATGTCAACAACGATGCTCCCCAGGGCCATAACTCACGCGGGAGAGGCGTGTCAGATCGTCCTCGTTGACACCATCGTGTTCACACACGTGACACTGTTAAATGTTTGTTCTGTGACAGAGTGACACACTTTGCTTTTGCTGGTTCTCTCTTCCTGGCCCAGTTGCTAGAAAGAGCCACAACCGGCACCCAATCCCACTTTTTTATATAACAGCGGGCTCATATGGGTCAGAAGTGAAAATGGATATCAGAAGCTTTTTTAAACGGAAAGCTGACAGTGACAATCCATCTCGTGCAACGAAGAAGCACGTGACCTCAGAGCCGTGTCATGACCCGGAATCTATCGATGCACCTGCTGTTTCCGTCACTCCTGATCATGCTCCGGCTTTAAAGAACCAGCTGGACATCGGCTTTGCCCTCAACTCGACTCTCGCAGGTATGTCAAACTCGTCTTTATCTGAGTATTCATGCAAAGCTGAGCTTGATTAGATATATAAAAAATTAAGGTAAAGATAAGAAGCAGCGGGCTAAAATTTTACTCCACTTCTGAAATCAGACAGAGCGAGCATGGAAGTCTATAGCGAGCTCAATCAATGGCCAAATTAGGAGATGGGGCAGGGGTGTCCTCATAAAATTTTTAGTACATACAAGGTGTACTCGCAAATGCGGGCCAACTCGCTTCTGCGAAAACTACGCATCGCAAAGAAAAAAAGTTGATGCCGTATGATAATGTGTGCCAACGGCACACACACGACACACACACACACACACACGCACATATATATATATTAACGTTTTAGAAAATTAGTTTTTCATTATTTGTTTAGGAATTACTTTGGTATTAGGAACTAGCTCAGACGCCCGTCTCCTTCTCGCCTGCCTCCCCTCTAGGAAAGAGGGGGGAGGCAGGCGAGAGAAAGAGGCTAGGAAGAAGGGAAGCGTAGCGCGCGCGGCACCCAGAAGTCAAAGCTCAACCTTGTATTGACGTGTTCATTCGCATAGCGAGGCTTTTCTTCTCGCCGGGGCACGTGCGCGTGCGACTATTCCCATCTTTTTACGAGAGGGGAGGCAGCCGAGGGCTAAACGGGCGAAACGTCTGTACCGTGGTCTCATGGCCTCCAGGATCGGCTCGCGTCACAAGTAGATCTACTATGAGCGCGCCGATCTCGGAGGCCGCGGTGGCCTGTACCTAGTTCCACGTTTCGGCCGCGGGAGGTCAGAACGGCTGCCGCCAAAAAAAGCGAAAAAAAAAAGAATTAGAGAGATTCTTTAAATTGAAGGGTTCTTCAAAACGTGGTAAAATGCGGGGAGTGCTTTATACCTGCCTAAAAACGGCCGATGGAAAACTTTTCGCGATGCCCAGCAAGTTTCGAATTGAAACGATAAAGTGAACAAATAAGAAGTTTATTTCGAAAGAAATAATAAAAACTTAATGTTCCTAACCGTTAGTAGTTTTCCTAAACAGGCCATTGGGTACGCACCAACGCAGCATCAACCTTTTTCCGTGCGATGCGTAGTCTTCGAAGGACCGATTTGGCTCGTGTTTCCAAAAACAGCCTTTATATAGCTTTATTGTTAATTCTCGAATGAATTAATGTTGTCCAGCTGTAGATGATTTCGGCCGTATTGTACCCCGGATTTATTGCAGGGGTTCCACGTTTGCCAGCTTTGTATTTTGCGATAGGAACTGTCTTTTCAGCTACACTTTTAACTTATTTTTGAAGTTTTGGAAGCGCATGAATAATGTATTAGCAAGAGTGAAATCCGAAATATTTTTCCAGTTTTACTCCACATAAAATCAAGATTTGTGGATGTATATAAAACTATGAAATATCATCGAAATTAAAACATCTTTCTCTCCGTTCGTTTTAAATATATAAAAAGGGTACATAAAACCCTCCTCGTCAGGAGATATGTTTAGATCAAGAACTACATCCCTAAGGGAGAGAGCGTTAAAACATTTAAGGGAAAACACGGGAACGGGAGACGGACATGACACAATTTTCATGTTGCGCCCTTCATCGTCTGTGTGCTTAATTTATATTTGCTATTATTCCTGCGTACTATCGCTTTTCATGTGTTTAGAAAACAATCAAGGCATGACTAAACCTCTTCATCCGTTGGAGAAAGGACCAACCAAAATCGGCGTTTGCCACTAAGGCGCTCTTTAGTTTCCACGAATAAATATTTTTACCCTCTGGTTTTTGTTAAAGTGACGGGGCAAAATACCCTAGGTTAACTTATCTGTCTTCCTTTCTGTCATTCCTCCTCCTCAATGCGTAGCTACGGTTCAAATCAAACCAAGACATACTTGCTTAAAACTTTCGATCAGGTGACATACGCATAATCTAGCTTGATCATTCAAAGGAATTACTTTCACATATACCATTCGCGCTTTCCTTGTTGCGGACAATGACCTCAAGCGAAAGTTGCTGGTCAGCCCCTGGATCCCTCCAGATACGTATGACTTCAAAACTGATGTTGCAGACTCCAAGCAAGCCAGGGCCTTCCGCCCAGCGTGGCTTTCCCAATATCCATGGCTGGCGTACTCTAGTGTTCTAAAAGGTGCCCTCTGTCGCCAGTGCGTCGTATTTAAGCCAGCGCCCGGGTAAGGTCGACAAGGAGGTTTCACTGCCACTGCTTTCACCCAGTACAAGAAGTTTCACGAGTCTGCCAAGCAACATGAACAGTGCGAGTGGCACAAAGACGCAACGGAAAAGAGGGACAATTTCCTTCGGTGTCTCGACAATTCGACGACATTTCTATGCAACTCGTCACCGCAGCGCAAAAAGAGGCGGAGGGCAGCAAACAGAAGCTGGTCTAAATTACGACAGCTATTCTTTTTTTTTTTTTGTGGCATGCAGGATATGCCTCTGCGAGGCAAGAAGTCAGAAGGCGGTGTGTTCCAGGACTTGCTCAAATTTCGCGTTGATGCGGGCGACCATATCCTGGAAACTCAACTCAAAAACTACGCCAAGAACGCAAGGTACACCTCAGTGAGCACCCAGAATGAGCTCATAAAAATCAGCGAAGAACTTTTGTGGGCGGATAATGTAGGAGCGTGTAACGATTCAGGACTGTACTCGATACTGGCAGATGAGTCAGCAGACGATTCGGGAACGGAACAATTCACGCGGGGCATTCGCTTCGTTGACATGCAAAGCGAAATTGTACGAGAGGAATTTGTAGGCATGGTTTCCCTCGGAGAAATAAACGCAGAGGCAATTTCTACCGCCATTCTCCAAACTCTCGAGGAGTTAGGACTGAACCTAAAAAACCTTGTGGGCCAGGGATATGACGTTTGCTCTTCAATGTCAGGATGCATATCCGGTCTACAGGCTAGGATCAGGAAAAAGCAGCCGCGAGCCTTGTACTTCCACTACGCCTCGCACCGCCTAAACTTGCTTGTGAACAAGGCCAACTTGGTGCCAGAGGTGAGAAATGCGGTGGCCCCTGTCAAAGCGGCAATCAAGTTCTTCAGAGAAAGCCCCCTCAGAAGAAAGCATGCATCCGCGCTTCCTCTACTTTGTGACACTCGGTAGATTTCAAAGTACAAGAGCATCCGCTTGTTTCACCAGAACTTTATAAGCGTTATGGAGGCGTTGGAAAAACTCCTGTCATCCACGAACAAACAAACGCGAGAAACAGCGCACCAGCTCGTTTGTAGCCTGAGCTCCCCATCGTTTCTTGGTTGTCTCACGATTATTGCGTGGTATTCTGCACTCCTGGAACCGTTTACGAACATCCTGCAGTCCGTCCAGATGGACATTTTGAAAGTGAAAGAGCACATTCGCGTGCTCACCTCAACCATACTTGAAAACAAAAAACGCGGAAGGCGTTTTCAAGGACATCTTCTCGAAGGTCGAAGAGACGGCACGGCAGGTCGACGTAGAAATCACTACGCCACGAATGGTTGGACGGCAAGTTCACAGGTCCAACGTCGTGGGAACAGCAGAAGAGCACTACCGCCGGAGCATCTTTATTCCGTACTTGGATTCCCTGCTGTCAGCTCTCGAAGAAAAGTTCGGGGAAAATAAAACACCCGCTTTCGCTTTGCTGTTGCTGCACTCAAGGTCCCTGAAGCAGCTTTCTGAAAATGATGTCAGGGTCAAAGTTTGCCAGCCAGTTGCGGAACATTTTGATTTTGACAACTTCGAATGTGAAGTTGAACTGCGGCGTAGGTCGTGGAGGAATAGCGACTTTGATGGGGACCTCATGAGCCTCCTCACGTTTGCTGAGGGGATTTATCCCGCCGTGAGTCGTGCCCTGCAAACGGCAATAACCTTCCTCGCAACGACGTGCTGTCCCGAGCGTTCGTTCAGCACAATGCGACGTGTAAAAACGTGGCTCCGCTCTACGGTGTCGGATGACCGACTGTCTGGTCCTTGCATGATATCCCTCCATCGGGAAAAAATCGAAAAGACAGGACAGAGAAAGTTCGCGGAGAGAGTGGTTGATGAGTTTGCGATGCGTGCGCCTAGACGGATGCTCCTTGTCTTTCGTGATTGAAGTCCTTCAAACAGCCGCGTCCGACTGTGCCGAGGCAAGCTAAAGGAACCCGCGTCCAGAAAATACGGAAAGTTACCATGGCAACTAACTCTCCGATAATAGCTCGCCCTGCTAGCTTTCCAACAGAACCAACGCAGCTTTCAGATATCTTCCACAGACCACAACCCGGGAAACGCTTCGAAGTAATATGACGAGCGAAGACAATTTTGTACAAAAATTAAGTTGTAAATTTGAACATAGGCCAACTTGGGGTAGCTTTCAAAAACTTGTATAAACGACAAATACTGTAAAATATGGAAATAAAAGGGTATTGTTCATTGCTGCAACAATTTATTATGTGTGCGCGTGACATAGATACACTGTCTTGCTATTGCGTACAGTAGATATGATGCCAATACTTGCATATAAAATCTTCGTACTTTTTTATCTCTGAGATAATTATAAACTAAGTGGACTGTTTTGCTGTTTCGCCGCGTCATGGACTATTCCTTACTTTTTTTTTTCACTGTGTGTACATATCTATAGAAGTGTTTTTTTTAGTTGAAATTACTGATGCATTGTACTTTTTAAAGTAATTGTTTAATAAAATACAACTCCCTGTAACGCGAAGAAGCGAAGGGCGCGAGCGTGCACAGCTTCAATCGGCGCTCTGCGAACTATCAACTTCAAAGGCGAAAAATACCCCAAACCTTCCAGCAAGAACCACAACACCGGGTGCTCAAAGGTATTTGCTACCCGAGGACACCAAGTTTATGGAAATCGGACCACCGCCTGGCCTTGTTCGGCCTATTCCTCCTACCCACGGGCCGGCGCCCCACTAACCCTAACGAGGAATACGGCACCTGCAGCAGGCCAGCGCCGGGGGCGGTGCCTTCCCCAAGGCACCGAGATCCAAGATGGATTACGTCGAAGTGGCAGGTGAGGACATCTCACCGGAAGAGTGTACAGCAGAGGCCGGCTGGCTCGTGAGCCACCGACAACGGGCCACACGAGCCCTCAACAAGCTAGGCCTCACGGCGGCGAGCACAGCCAAAAATTACGCAGGTGGCCGGATAGGAAACCGAAAACCACGTCAGAGACACAGGAAACAGCGTCAGCAACCAGCCCTCCCACGCGAGGACATAAAAATCATCCTGCGGCCACGAGAGGGCCTCGATGTTACCAAGGTGAGCTCCGCGAGGCTACGCGACGGCGTATTTTGCGCCATCGGCCTCAAAGAGCAGGAAGGCGAGGGAGACCTGCTACAGGTCAACCCGGAGAAGAACATCATCGTGAGAAGCACACTAAGCATGGACCGAGCTAAGAAATAAATCTCAATTTCAAAAATCTGCATCGCAGGCAAGACCTATGAAGTCACCGCTTACGCGGCGCCACCAGAGGATACTGCTAAGGGGGTTATACATAATATCCCAGATTATGACACCGCGGAAGACATTACGCGCAGCCCTGTCTACAACAAGAACCCTACCATCCTTCAGGCGCAAAGGATGGGAAAAACCAACTCGGCGGTCATCGTCTTTGAGGGCAACAAAGTGCCCTATTATGTATATTACCGTGGGGCGGAGTACCGGTGTTTTTTTACATAAAAAAAGCACGAAGTGTGCTCCACCTGCGGTAAAGTGGGACACCGCATGGACGTCTGCCCGACGCCCGAAGACAAAATATGCCGCTCTTACGGCTCAAAGAATCCACGAGAAGGGCATAAATGCGACCCCAAGTGTGCCCTGTGTTGTGGGGATCACCCCACTGGAGACAAAAACTGTAAGAACCGGTTCCAAACGCCGTACCTACTACGGAAGAGACAGCGAGAAAAAGAACGTCAGAATGGCGTCGGTCAATATGGCGGGCACCGAAACGTAGAGTCGACGTCCGTTCTGGGTGGCGGCGAGGGCGGCGGGAGAACGAAAGAAAGGGGGACGAGAGATCGTTCGGGCTCCTTCCCACGTCTACCCCACCGCGGATCAGGGAGCGTCAACGACGCGGGACAGCGGCAGCAGCGCCGGTCAAGATCTAAGTCAAGATGCCGGAGCCCTAACAACCAAGGCCGACATCAGTCAAGATCGACATCCCGAGGCGGCCGACACGAGACTTCGAGAGGAACCAAGCAGAACAAGGTGAGCTGGGCTAGCACGGTCTCCCACAGCTCGGCTCCGCAGAATGAAAAGAAAAAGATTAGCAACCAAACTAGCGCGCAACAGGCAGGCAGGCAGCAACAGGGGGAACTTACCAAAATCAAGCAAATGCTAGAGATGGTAGTCGCCGAGAGTACAAAGCTAAAGGCTGAAGTGGCGAAACTAAGAGGAAGCGAAAACGCCGACAAAGTAGTCCCCGAAACGCAGGGTCCCTCGAAATCGCAGGCCCCACCGCCAGACCAGGGCAAGGCAAACACACTACGGCCCACACAGGTCCTGCTAGCTGAGGACTCGTCTAGTGACGAGATGGAAAATTCGGAGCCCGAGTCTCCTTCCCCGAAGCGTAAGGCGAAAGACCCAACAATAACAAACGTCCCAAGGCTCCCCAAGAGAGCAGAAAAAAGGGACGCAGAGACACTGCAGCATTTCGGGGAGAAGCTGAGCGAAATGCTCACCACAAAATTCGAAGCCATGCTGGCGAAATTTGCCGAGAGCATAGGCACGCAAATCGCAGCACTTAACGCTAGGGTAACGGCGATTGAGGCCACCTCATTGGGCTTCACCGGCGGGGGAGGAGGAGCGGGTCCCATGAAATCCACCAAGCCTTACGCCAGACCCGTATCATTGGAAAGCGCTAGGACAAGCCTAGAAAGTACACAGCTTAAGGATTATGGCACCGAATAATCACAAATACATAATTTAGCAGTGGCATTGCCGCGGGTACCGCCGCAAAAGGGGGAACCTACAGCAATTAATAGACAATAAATATCAGGGGAGGTGCTAGACGTAATATGCCTGCAAAAAACGGGAGGCTTGGCTAAACTTTCGGGGTACAAACCGTACTACAGTGAGGATGGACCGGCCTCGGACGATAAAAGTATAACAGTAGCGACCCTCGTTAGACGTCACCTACCGGTTATACGGCGCGATACCGGCGTAACGACCGTGGACCACGTCCTCGTGGAGATCATCTCAAGCCAAGAAAGGGGCATGGGAAGCCTATTTGTATTAAACGTATACAGCAACCCACGCAAGCAACATAGATTCGCGAACCTGTTCCGCAAGACATTAGACATTGCAAAGCGTCAAACACTAGTCATAGTAGGAGATTTCAACGCATACCACCCAGCCTGGGGATACAGGCGGGAAATGATCAAAGGGCGGAATCTCTGGCTGGATGCCCAGTAGGAGGGGCTGTCTCTGGTCACCGACCCCGCGTACCCCACTAGGTTGGGAAGCAGCGTATGTGCGGACACCACACCGGACCTAACATTCACAAAGAACGCTAAAAAGCAAGCCGAGTGGCTAAACACGCAGGAAAATCTAGGAAGTGACCACTATATAGTGGCCACAAAACTAGAAGCGGGCCCCCACAAACCAAAAAAGGGCACGCAACTTATAATCGTCGAGTGGGACGAGTTCAGGGAACTAAGAGCAGCCGAATGTTATTCATGCGAGGAGAGAACAGGGACGCACGAGATTGAGGACATCGAGTCGTGGGTCGAACAGCTTCACACATGCGTACAGAAAGCAACAAAGACCATTCCGGAGGAAGCCGAACTAACACAAGCCGACGCTAAGCTTCTGCATATGTGGGAAGCGAAGCAAGGCTTGCAGAAAAGGTTAAACAAGCAAAAACTAAACCGCGCACTTCGCCGACGTTTAGCGATCCTTAATAAAACAATAGAGGACTACGCAAACCAGCTGTCGCGCCAAAACTGGCACAGCACGTGCGACGGTATGGAACTACAGGTGGGCCTTGCAAGAACCTGGAATATCCTTAGGTACTTAATCGACCCAGATAAAAGCAAGACCACGCAGAAACACAATCTAAGTAAAATTCTGCACACCTACCAGGGCACGAGCGACGACCTAATCAAGGAAGTCCGCAACAGATACAT